CTGAGCTGTGGACTCAAGAATTTGTTTAGGCTAGTTTACCTCATAGACAGGAGGTAAATAGACAATATTTTACATAGCCTGTTCTCCTCGATTTTCATTGTTTATTATGTTTCTTTCAGCTATTTGGTATTTTTTCTCTTGATACACTCATGAATTGTATTTAAATGGTAATTTTTAATTACACTTAACATCTGAATATGTTTAATCATAGAACATAGTTCATACATCAAAAAAAAACTAAATAGAGCATGAAGAAGTTTCTATGTTTGATAGAAAAGAGAAACCATGTATCTGCTTTGCACAGGATATCTTTTTTGAGTCCAAGTAAGAAAGGACAGAAAGGTCTGTTTGTGCGGTACACTGGAGTGGTCCATGTTCTGCTGTCATGTTCACTGTGACTTCTCCATCTTTTGTTATTTAGAGATCAAATTTTCACTATCCCCAAAATACGGTTTGTTACATAAAACCTATTTTCTGCCACCCTGTAATATAACAGGTGTGAGACATCTTTCTGGTTTAGTAGAAGGTGTACGGTCTTCAAATCCGCTTGTGTGGAATGTAAAATAAACCTTACAGCAATGTGAATAAGAAAGCCCCTTGACAGCTGAAAAGGCGAACAAAGGTTGACATTCATTGGTATTTATGCCATATTGAATAGCTAACATTACCTCATCATGGGAGAAAGTGGGACACAGAAAGATGCAACCAGAAAGCAGACTCGCTAGCCCAGAGGTAGGATACAGCTCCCACCAGCTGTTAGATCCACTACACTTCTTTCTGGCATTCCTTTATTTCTGAAAGCATAATTTCAAAGTTTCTTACAAAATGACAGTTAGTTGATGCAAAATATTTAATCTCTGTCTTCTACACTTTGAGAGAAATAGGCATACTCTTCTCTAGTAGTCTTGCCTGGCTCCTGGAAGAGACACACACTTGTACTTACTTAACCAGGGGTCATCCTTGTACACACACCTTGACCCAGAGCGGCTTCTCAGTGCGGATTCCTGAGGACCATGTACTTACTCCATATACTTTATTATGAGGAGTTTTCAGTTTAAAAGATCTGGAGACTGCTGAAAGCATTCAGTAGCTTGTGAGAGGGCCTGTTTGTTTTTCTGTTTTTCTATGCTGGCAAAGCAGAATATACCTCGTTAAAAACTTGTTTATTTTTCAGACTGTCAAGAAAAGCCTGGTGTTTTCACATATCAATCATTACATCCTGGATTTATCTTTACTTTCACTTGTTCATTATTTTGCATCAGGAAGCTTTTCTGCCCATGTTGGAGTAGAGCTCTCGATCAGGTTTCTGTGAGCGTCAGTTACTGCCAAATGAGTCATGGAACAGTTTCATGTTCTTCCTTTGCCGAGTTAGTGTTTTCAGGCACAAATGAATTTAGTTGCTTTCTGATACAGATCTTTTTTTCTCTGAAGTGCAGTGCAGAATATATATTGTTAAACCTGTCAGAAAAGTGTGTTGACTAACAGTGGTGCCTTTAAGCAGAGGCTAAACAATATCAGAAGCCTCAGGGGATAATGTCTGAAATCACTTAGGAGCATTCTTAAGACAAAGATTGCTTGTCTGAGATATTACTTACTAGAGGTTTCACTGTCTTGCTTAAATTATGCATTTATGAAGTACCTTACCCTAAAGTAAAAGAAGCTATAAAAACTAACCCATTTACATCCATACAATGTAGGAAAGGAAATAGGACAAAATATGAGCATAAGGATAGTCACATCTGATCATAGATGCAATCATCTTGTCCTAGGAAAATGGAATGTTTTATCTTTAAATCAGTTTTAGGTAGATAATATTTCAGTAGAAAATTACTATGTGAATATAGACAGAATATTTTGTTTACACCAATTTGTATTTTCCCACCAATCAAATAAATCATTTGAGATGGTGAACTGAGACAGTACACTAAAAAAGGAGTGATTAGAGGAACAATGTGATGAGAGGATGTACTCAGTGAAGTCATTTACTTTCTGATTTTGTGATTTCCTTTTGGAATTATGAGTCTGCTTTTCCTGGGAGTCTGACAAAAACAGATGTTGCCTTGAACTTTTACTGGAGAGTGTTCTCTCTTCCACCAGTAACCTTTTCCAGGTCAGTAGTGCCTTGGCACTTGGAAAACTATTAGGTTTTAAGTACTCTTGAAAATTACCTGTTCTCTTCAGCAGATCTGTTTTCTATGACATTTTGTTCCCTTCTGAGCACACCCACCCTGCGATGCAGAGACAAAGAAGGCAGGTTTGTGCACTGACCAAATTAGAAATTTAGCAAGATGAAACTTAAAACCATGTCTGCATATCTACAGCCTTGCAGATGATCCAGTGTTACAGGTCATCACTGAAGGAAGAGCTGGAAGCAGATGGATAAAGAAGTCATTTACTGTAAATTAAGGGTATGTGCTTTTCTTTTCTTTTCTTTTTTTTTTAAGGCAAACAAACCAAAGCAGGCTGTAAGTTGTTTGCTGCATTTTAGAGTATAGTCTATTCATGTGTAAACATCTCTTCCCCATGAGTTCCTCCTACACTCCAGCTTCCATTGCTTGAGACAGCTGAACAAAAGAACTGTCTCTTCCACTTCTTTTCATGCTGCTTAAATCCTCCACTGAAGCTGTTAATATCTTCCTCCAAAATGTGCCTCAAACCATATCATACAAAATCACAGTCATTACCAGCTGAGATGCTTTTTTAATGATGTGTGTCACGAGTGATGTCCAGTGTCACCCACCAGTGACAGCTGTAATGAGTCTGAAACACCCCAGTATTTTGAGGGACAATTACAGATTTTCCCTTTTTTTCTCTGATTCATGGATTATCATACAAGCAGTCACCCAGCTCATAGGATTATCTTTGAGACATTCCAGTTCTATTTCAAATGACAGCCCTGTCCTTTCTGTTAGTCTCAAAAGAATATAAAGAATGGAAAAGGACTTTCCTGCATTCTTTTTAAAACCATCTCAGAGCAAGGCTTAATGTGACACCATCAGCCAGTCTGACCTACTTTGAAATTCTTACAGTCTGACTGGAAAGCCCTCTGGATTTTAAACACTTTATTCTGTCTCAGGTCAACCCTTGTTGCTGAAGATGCTTTTATTGTGCAACTTATACATCTTCCATGCTCTGACTACTACTTCAGCACATTCATATTGATGATGTTGGGCAGTTCTAGAATTAAAATTTGAAAATTAAAAATTGAGCTGTATTAAAAAGATGGGAGAGGGAAATTATTTTCAAAAGAAAAAGCAAAAGAATTTTCTTTCTGAAAATAGGAACAATTTTCAAGGTTAGATTAGAGAAAAGGCTCTCTAAAAGAATTTTTCAGCATTGTTCAGAATAAACAAGAGATGACATCTGATTAAGTACAGTGGAACTGGAACAACGGCACTTCTGTAGTAAAGTGAAAATCGGAATGAGCTTAAAGGAAGATAAAGATGAGAACATTAAAAAAAGCTTAAAGGAAAGAAGACAGCTAATTTGATCACCCTGGATCTGCACTGTTCATTTTCCCTCTATTACCTGTACCACAGAAGTCCCTGAGCACACATCTGCTAAGAACTCCTTAGCAGTGTCCCCACTTGGATCTCCTCTTCACAGCCTCCCTTTAAAGCCTTTTGAGGAGCTACCCAGAACACTGGTTAATTCGAATATTTTTTTAACATCTTCAGAGGCCTCTCAGCCCATTTACCAGACTTGGGAAAATGCAGTTCTGCTCTTCCTACCCTTGCTTACCTCAGATGCTGTATCAGCACTTATCCAATGCTGTATCAGCACTTATCCAAGTGGTCCCTGCCTTCCCTCCAGATTCCTTGCCAGTTCAGCCCCATGTCCCTTTAGCACATTCTGTATTCCATCATCTCTGCCTTCCCCACCAGTTTTGTTCACCCCACTCTCCTCCACCTTCATGTCTCCTTCTCTGTCCTGGTTTCTGAGGCTCTGCCCTCCTGCCCATCATCTTGTGCTTGAGAGGCTGCACCACAACATCCTTTCCCTCCTCTCATGCTCAGTTAGAAGACATGAGAGGAGAGAAATCAAGTGGATTTCAGGAACAAAGGGCAAGACACTGAAACAGTTGTTTTTCAGTCCCCTCCTTCTCCAGTGGAAGGAGGTTGGACCAGAGGCTGCCTGAGGTCCCTTTCAACCCAAATTACCTTAAGATCACATTTTTTCTTACACATTTTTGTTACCATCCTTACCAGTATCTCCCCACTCTTCTGCTATTTCCTATAGTTTGGATCATTCTTACAAGATAGGGTAAGATCTACTCAGCAGACATTAAAAGCTTGTAAGAACCTTTTGGGTTTACTTGTTTATGGTGTTTTTAAAGGTAACTTGGAAGATGGAACCTTTCAGGGTAGTAAAAACAAACACTTGGAGGGCTCTAGGATAACTGTGGGTAATAAAAGTCACAGTTTAGCTGTCCAAGGAAAAGAAAAGAGGGAGGTTATAGGCAACAAGAATGATAGAAATAAATTATAGAAGAAAGGAAATTAAATTAGGGTCACAAGGAGCAGGGTTGTCCCCATCAAGATCTCTGGATTACTGAAGGGGAAAAGTGATAGATAGCTTGAATCACTTGAAGCACTGACCAAAATGACCTTAGCAATTCTGTAGTGATTTGATATAAATATGTCTCTTCATCTGTAAATTGCTAGCTATAGCAAGAAGGAAAAAAAAAAACAGAAACAAATTGTGAGAGGTTTATTTTATAGACTGTATTAAAAAAAATCAATTTCTGAAAAGCTTTATTACCACAGGTAAACAGCAAAAAAGACCTCAAATCAAGAACGTCAGTGTTTTTCTCCTTTTTTTTATTTTTTTTATAGGATGGTAACAAGCAATACGAACAAGTCCTTCAGACTTACGCAGCTAAATCTAAAAAATTCCATATGCCCTGAAATCATTCAGAAGCTGATGTTCACAACTATTCCTATTAAGTCTGAACTGCCTGGTGCAGCCTGGAGAACGCAATTTCAGAAAGCTTCAGGAGGGAAAAGCTCTATAAATGTAAGGGACGGAGGTTATGAAGTATTAACATGATGCTAAATTGCTGCCTAGCATGTTTGCAATGGGCAGTTTACAATCTGTTCATCCTGATGGATTTAGCGCAAGGGAGTCTGAAGTCCTGGCTCTGAAGTTTCTGTCTCTGCCTAGTAACTGGCAGCTAAGCTGTACCCACAAATCATGTGTTAGCACCAAAGGAGTTTGGGACCCTGCTCAGCCCAAACAGCTCCATTACACTCAGAGGAGCAGTAATAAATGGAAAGTAAGGAAAAGTTCCAAGAGATAATGAGTGTGAATGCTAATGACCTAAGCTAGTACAAAACATAGCAAAGCAATTTCTCAAAAAGTACAAACCCATTTAGTGTCTTAATGAGTTATTAAAAAACCAGTAATAACGATTTTGTGGTTTGAAGCCAAATTAGTATTTTTCCACATTCTTTTCTTTATCCACTAAGACACTGCACAAATTATGATGATTTTCCTGGTTTACTGCAGGAATTAACATTTCCTGTGGAAATAAGTGTTTACTTCAGAGTTCTTTCCTTTTACAGTACTTTGGCCACCTTTCTTAACAGCAAGAAATTGTATCTTTTAAACATCTTAGTCATCTAGAGCATTAAATAAGTTGAAAATTGTGCTTATTTCATGAAAGTGGAGGATAAATCCTAACTTTAAACAAACTTTCTTATCCTTTGGAATACATAATATAAATTTCTTCTCTGATGGAAAAAAGTAATTATTGCAAAGATTATTGCACAACCATATAATTGAGTAGGAATCCTGAATGAACTGGAAGTAGATGTGAAATCTGTAATCTTCTACTGAAGTAGTTTCTGCAGCAAAACATGTTTGTTCACCATTCGTATTTTCTTAATACCAAAGAGTTCCAGTGATGGTCAAAATGGAGCTTCTCAACTAAAGTGCATAATTGCCATTCCCGTGAAAAGATGGATATCATAGCTTCCCAAATTGGAAATGGAGATACTTTCTTCTGTGGTGTACAATGTGTCTTCTTTCATCCAATAGTGATGGTATTTCATAAGGCAATAACTGAAACTAAAGAAAACAGTATTAGAAAAAAGAGGAGGTTAATTAGGTCTTTCCTAATTTATCTCAGATTTCGTAATTTTGGCTTTCACAGTAATGAATTCTGCTCTTTATTACAAAGGACAACAACATTGTAACTAAGAGGCAGACAAAATAGACAATGCACATCAGATTGTATCAAAAGACCTAAGACTGATACTGGACAGCTGAATGGTGGCTTGGGTACCTGCTCCATGAGAGTATGTTACATCAACCTGAGTGAGGCACACTGGCCTTAGCCACTTTCAGGGAAGCTGAGCCAAAAGCAGCCCTGGAGAGTATTTACCACATTCACCTGGCTGAAATGCTTCTCTGTGCCCAACTGCCTTTCCCATTTTATACTGGTATACAGTGGGACAAATTTGGAAATAATGGAATAAAAGCAGCTTTTTCCACACTCCCAAGTGAAATGCTTCTCAGTAATCATCAATCACCCTTTTGAAATTTGGTCTGCATCTCCTGGAGTAACATGTGATGAGGAACCTTGAAATATGAAAACGCTCAGATCCCAGTCAAGTTCATCTTACTTTTTAGGGAACTATACAATGCTGAGAGAGGAGAAGAGGGAGGCAGTGTGGAAGCACAAGATCTCTGTACTTATTCGCACACTGAGTGAAAAAGCAAATGTAGCTTATCACCCATTCTGGTAGTTCCTGTAGCTGCAGGCCCAATTACAACATCTGTCTCCATTTTCTTTTACATCATAAGAACTGGGATAAGAAATGTTCCTTGGCTGTGAAATCATACTGGAGGCAGCAGCTGCTGAAGTGAGCTAGAAAATGACAAGTGTAGGCAGGATACCATGCATCAAAAATTGATGCTGGATAATGGAACAGTGGGTTTAAACAGCCTGCACAGTGCTCCTTACAGTCCAGTTCTGCCAGCAAGCAGGAGCGCTTCCCTTTGGAACCCTTTGTGCCTGTTTTGGAGAGAAACACATCCTGGCATGCATTTCATGTAGGACCCAGTAACTGTGCCAAGTACCCTGGAATCCGCTCAGCAATCTGATTCTGTGAGCTCTTTTGTGCTAAGAGGAGTTTTCATTTTAATGTAAGATTAAGACTTGAAGCAGAAACAGAGGAGGAATTACTTTTCATGATACTTAAAAAACAAACATGTAATTGAGTGCATACAGTTCTGAAAACAATTTAAAGCTGCATGAGGGCATAAATCAGAGAATCATAGTTATCTACAGGAATTCCTGAAAGTATTAAAAATGATGTCTTACAAAAAGGGCCAGCTGATATATATACTGACCCAGTAGGTCAGTATATTAGTAGGAACTTCTGCCTTCAGCAGCTTCACACCAAATTTAATGATAGCTTTAACCACAGTAGTATCACTTCAGAGCATCGAAACAATGCTTTTCAGAAACAGTGTCAAAAGGATAATTGGAAGGATCTTAGCAATTTAAAATCACACCTACTATTCTTCACAAATACTTGCATGAAAAACAGCTTAACTGTAATCTCTCTCTCACTCCTGAGCACAGTTGGTACTTGCTTTTGCTAGAATATTTTATGAGTTTCACTGTTTTCTCTGCATGTTTGTGTGGGTGTCTTGCTTGAAGACAGATGAGAGAGAGATTCTTTAAAATATAAAAACATTTTTGTAAAGCCACAATCACATAAGAAAAAGCAGGAGAAGAATATTTTTAGCTGCACTTTCTGTTCGTGCTACTAAGTTCAGCAATGAATTTAAAGACCTCTTCAAGAAGGCAGCAGGGGCCTGAGCCAAAGCCCAGGTAATAGCCTAGGTACACCTGCACTCAATTTTCCTGTCATTACACTAGAATATGCACAACCAAATTTCTAATTTGCTAAGGGAGCGTTTCCTTAGAAAACAATGACACTGATGATATTCTGAATGTAGCTGGATAGGAATCAACCTCTCATACATTTAGTTATTTACTGTGGCCATAGGAGGGTTCTCAGATTGTAAGAGAGGAAAAGGACCCATCAAATTCTTCTATTTTACAATTTCTTTGGAAGGGGTTTTCATCTTTTCAGCCATACACGTGCATCCCCTGTGCGTGGTCCCCGCCAGTTACCAGTCATCTACATTGTGGTCCAGTGTTATAATCCATTTCACCTGAAGATAAGATCCTGCCTTAAATTCTATGTTCACTGGGAGACTGAGTTGTCTTATCTAACTATACAGCAGCACTGTCGCTCAGAAAGAAATGCAGAGATGTGAAGCACCTTACATGTTCAAGGATCTCAAAGCTCTTTACAAAGAGAGTTGGAAGCACTGATGGCAAAAGCAGTGTACTAAAAATCATTGGCAATTGCTGATGTGGAATTTTCATTAGCTTTTATGCAGCCTTTTTATTAAAAGAATTGAATGAATGGCCAGTCTTCGCGAACGAAGAACCGGGGAAGGTCTTTACACCTTCCAGACTGCGCATTGGATTTTTTAGGTGAGACACAGTGTGTGCGGAACTGAGCCCACCCTTTAATCCTGAGGTTCATCTGCCGGGGCCAAGCATGCTTGGACGGTGGCAGCGAGGTCCTCAGGACGTAGATGGATTGCCTTATGGGCTAACGAGCTCCATCTGCCCAGGGAGGGGCCCTGACCGGGACTCAAACCCGGGTGTCTGCGGTGACAGTGCAGCACCTTTCCCCTAGACCACCAGGGGCTCCCATTAAAAGAATTAATGGGATGTAGGACAAGAAGATTGTTTTATCTCTTCCCTGGGGCATTGATTGTCAAAGAGATTGCAGTAAATAAAATGTTCAGGATAATAGTGACCAGTTTGGGTGAATTTGATCTAGCATCAGGTCAGAGCATAGCACTGGGCACTTGCAAGAAAAAAAAAAAAAAAGAAAAAAAAAGAAATAAAAGGGAAAGTCCACAACAGTTAAAGACAGTTAATTTTTCTTCTTTTTTACTCATAAAATGGTAGTACTTCATCCAGGAACTGTCAGGTTCTGTCTCTTAATTTGCCCAAATAGAACAGCGTTCTGTCCCTGGTCATTCATGAAATCCATTAACGCTGCTTTTGATTCAGAGAATACAGCACTGCTTCCCCTTAAACAGGCACAGGAGAGTGGTACTGCAGGAGAGGCCTCACAATTTCTCTTCGTGCTATAAACATATGGCTTTTATTCTGCCCCAATCACTGGAAGATTGAAGAGCGGCATAAATAGTTTCTTTGTCTTATATGTTCTGTTACTAATATTAACAGTTTACTGTTACCAGTAAATTGTTGTTATCTCAAACCATGATCTTTGCTTTCTGTGCTTCCAGTTGGAGGGGGAGTGGGAGGGGAAGCAAGCAGCAGTGTGGTTTTAGCAGGGGTACTAAACTGGAAAATACCATTTCTAAACCATGACATACGTGAGGAGAGGACTGTCTTAAAACACTTGAGGGACATGGCTTATTAATTTTTTCCAGGGCCGTTGCTAATATGGTAGTTTAATGAAAGATGGCAAAAACAGAGGAGGATTCTTACCTTTGGCCCTCAAATGTAATAATAATAGTTACTGAGAAGATACTCAGGGACATTAAGTGACCTATGCTGAAGAGACTCTTCTTTGGCAAAGGCACAAGTGAAGAATTTGGTGCATTTTTTATTAGCTCAATTAGGTGTCAGTGTGTAAGTAATGAAGCATGTGTGTGCATTTCTGTGCATGCACACAGATATATAAATATACACCCGCATGGGATATAAGTATATTTATAAACATGGTCACACGTGTAGGTCATATGTTTACCAATATATTTTGTGATCAAGTATTGTCTTAAAGACTTTAAAATACACTTATAGAAAGAAACATGTCTTTTTCTGGCATGAAAAGAAAAGCACAGCAGAAGGTTGTGCTGTGTAATTGATTATTGGTATCTCTCTCAATCCACTAACAAGAGGAATACTTCTCTGTTGCAAACTGCAGCAATGAGCAAATAATATGCACACCAGTCTCCCCTGATCATTCCCGTGCCCAAAACCAATATTGTTCAGCCTTTCAGCTTTCAATGTGTTGGGTTAAGGGCCCTTGCTAAGGCCATCATCAGGTTCTCCAGCTCAGTAGCAATAATGATGGTGATCAGAGTGATCCTTGCTTTTTCGTTTCCTCCTTCTCATGCTGTTGATACAACTACCACAGCTGCTGTGTAGGCAGCCTCCTGACAGAGAAATCAAACACTGTGCTTTGGTTAATGTTTTTTCTTAGTGCAGCTTCAGCTGGCTGGAAATGAGGAAAAGTGTAACACGAAAGTGGTTTGCCTGTCCCTGTCTTGCCTATTTGATCCAGGGCAGGCATTGGGGTAATTATTACCAACTGGACAGAAGCCAGATTTGAAGCAGGGAAGAGCAGAGGTTGGCACTATCCCAGAAGTTCCCTCAGGTTTCTAGCTCTGGCCAGAACCCTTCCTTGTTTGAGGCTCTTGTGTCAGTGGTCTGAATTGCATGTGCTTCAGGGGAGCAGCTGTCAGTGTGATACAAAGGTGATGCTTTTTGATCAAGAAGCTTCTGATACATACTTCTTATCTCAATCCCAGCTCCTTCTCCAGAAAAAAAAAACAACAACCAGGTTTTACCAAGTTGATGTAGTCTAAAACTGTCTTTGTCAATTCTGGAATTTAATCATTTTGGCCTTTTTAAGTCTCAGGACTCAACTGTTCATGTGCAGCACTTGTAGCACAGCCACCTCCTCCCTGCTGAGCAAGAGAGTCCTTAGCAGCGTTGTAGAGACTTCATAAAGACAAACCCAGCACTCATGAGAAAAGCAGACCACAACCTCCTTCCCCAGCCTCAGTAACCAAGAGCAGTTCTTGCTAGCAAGTTTTTCAGTAGCTCCAGCATCGTTAGCCCCTGAGCCACCCACAGACACGAGTAGTAATGAGCTGAATCTGACCTTATTAGAGAAAGGGAGAAGTGCTTTTTGGAGAAAGTGAAGCAAAGCTAAAGCAGAAAGCTAAAGCTTTTTAATATTTTCACAGGGAGTTTAGCTCTGAGGCATCTCCTTTGAGAAATGTATTCAAAACCTAACATGATGAAAGGCAAGATCTAGATCTAAGTTCCTGCCTCTGCAGCCACATCCTTTAATAATATTTCCACACAACGTCATGTAACATTACAATTTCACATACTCAGCGTTATTCCCACATATCACATCCAGCTTTCACCTCACTGTCAGCTGTCCATCTGACAGGAATGACCTGGAAAGCAAGGCTGCTTCTATACAGCGCAGCACTGAACAAGGCTTTTGGGGTTTCTCAAAATACCTAACCTTTTTCTTTCAGTCACTCACCCAGATATTAAGGAAAAGAACTGATTAATCCCAAAGTGTCCCAGATCTCATATATTGTCTCATAAAGCAACCAAAGATCTGAAAAGTTGTTCCATCTCTTCTTTTTACCCTTTAATATTTAGCACTTAAGATGATGAAAGCAAAAGGTCATCCTAACATTTACTCCCACCTCTAGGAACATAAAAGTTAAATTTGCATGGAATGGGCCATGAGCTTTTTCCCTACTTCTAAAAGATGAGTTTCGGTGAACACAATGTCCTGGATGGACAAAGCATGCTAGGGATCAGCCATAATACTGTATAAATGAGGGCACTGAATACGGGTGAGCCCCCCCCTAGTGACACATCCTATTACAACCTAAGAAATATCTTATTTTTATACCGAGAGTATATCTTCTCACAAAAAAAAAAAAAACAATCAAGGTTGGCAGGTGCATAGCAGACAGGGATATGGGAAGATGAAGAGAGACAGTTGACAAATACCAGAAAAAAAAGTGATCTAGAACCGAAGTGGCTGGGAAGAGTCTGAGGAAAGGAAGAAGCTGCCCTACAAGAAGGCTGATGGGGCCTTTAAAATGCCTGCTCACTCGGAAGCTGAGAACAAATGGCAAACAGCTGAACTCAGATGATCTGAGAATTGCTCTCAGTTATGTCCACAGACCTCCCAAGTCATGTTTTCCCATCATGCCTCCTGATATTCTCATTTCAGAACAGTAATGATAACAACTTCACATCTCTGTAAGTCCTTGTAAGATCTATGGATGGCAACCACTTAAAAGTGGTCAGTATTTTTAATTACTGTAGTACACCATCCTATGACCCAGCCAGTCTCACTCAAACACCAAAAAATTATCTAGCTCAGTTTTTAATTTATTATGGAAGTACCTCATCTTCTGTCAGCAACGCTGTTCAAAAATTTATTCTTTAGCTCTGCTCTCAGCATACAATTTCATCTTCATGGTTCCACATGAAGCAAAAAAATCAAACGGCTCTTCAGTACATCAATTATTTTTAACACAATAAAAAGATAGCATGACATAATATTGAGTTTCCAGTATAAAACTCCATCCAATTTAAACAGAGGTAAAGAAGGAGCCTCCTTAAGCTTTGAACCTAAAAAATTACCGCACACAGTAATATCATCTGTTTAAGTAGCCATAACCTTGTCTGTACAACTGAAGTTGTATTAGTCTATTACTTATTCAAGTAGCATCTGTTCTGTTTCTAGACATTACAAGTATTTTCAGGAGGAGATACCTCTTAGTGCACATTTCTTTCCAGACTTGTTTCCTTACATCTGGACTTCCTGATACAATTACAGGAGCACAAGGCCTGGAGAAAGTTAGAAGAGGGAGACTAATTTTAGTTCTGAGTGGAAACCAGCTTCTTGATATTCCTTCTGACTGGTGTGAGAACATCAGAGTGATCGATTTCTTTTGTTTGGGAATTTCATCAGCAAGCTATTTATTTCCAATATGGGATTTTCTTCAGAGATCATTTGCAAATTGGTTTTTTCCTTTGCCCTTGTCAGAAACAAATGTCAGCACACTGCTGAAGTCTAGGACACAATAATTTACACTAGAAAAAAAGTGTCAGAATTTGCACCAGGACCTGCAGGGAAACACAGGGTTTAATGGGCTAACACATTTGACTATAGATCACTTTTGGTAGCAGAAGGAAAATTGACTCTCTTATCCTGCCACCTACCTCTTACAAAACACATTATCAAGTTTTTCATGTCATATACTTGGTTAGACAAAGTAGTAATTTATTTTGAGCAGATATTGCCTACTATTACTTCCAAAAATATGAGGCAAAACACAGTAATTAGAGTTGTAAGATATTTACTTACCCTCTAGATTTAGAGTTGATCCACATGACAGTGCTCTTGTTCAAGAATTACAGGAAGTATCTTTGTGGTCTGTACAGTAAGTGGAATCTGTTGTTTTCTAGTTTTCACTATTGAAAGTAAAAATCTTTTTTATCCATATTATTAAACAGCAAATACATCTGCAGAGTGTTGAACTTGAATATGCAACTTTGAAAATAATTGAGACATATCTGAACATAAGACAGAGATGTACAGAGAGTTTTTCAGTGGGATTTCAGTGCCCAGAGACACAGATCCATGTCAGGAACTCCTGAAAGTATTAACCATGTTTTGTATTTAACTTCTTAATACCAGCAGGACTACAACACGCAGATTCTAAGTCTTCCTGGGAAGCAGCTTGAAAGGAGGCAAATAAATTGCTCCTGAAATTTACTAAATAGTGAAAAGGATGCAGATTTGGACTTCACAGAATCCCAAAATGTGCTGAGTTGGAAAGGACCCACATGGATCATCAAGTCCAACTCTCAGCCCTGCACAGGACCATCCCCAAGAGTCACACCATGTGCCTGAGAGGATCATCCAAACGCTTCCTGAACTCTGTCAGGCTTGGTGCTGTGACCACTTCCCTGGGGAGCCTGTTCCGGTGTCCACCCACCCTCTGGGGGAAGAACCTTTTTCTAATCTCCAACCTAAACCTCCCCTGACACAGCTTCAGGCCATTCCCTGGGGTCCTGATCCGAGTCCCCCAAAATACAAAACCCTACATTTGGCCAGTTAAGCAGAAACAATGGAAATTTAGGGTGTGAACTTCCTGATTTATTTGCACAGAAGGGCAGCACAGATTGCCACTCAGGCACACATGGTGTGGCCTCGGCTCACTTGTCATACACACAGGGAGAGCTACTGCGTATGACTCAGTTTTTAACAAAGGTGACAGCATGCACCTCAGAAGCAGGAAAGGGCGTGGTGATGCCTTTAGCACACTGATAACACATATCCTGGCATCTTGCTGTGATACAGATAAGGAAATACAGAAACAGCATTGTCAGGCAAATGAACGCATTGTTGATCCAATGCATTTGTCAAAGAACTACTGTAGAACATAAACAATATTTTAACTCCAGGTCTATCCTGTCCCCGACCATCCATTACTTCTGTAAGCTTACAAATGGCTTTCTACTGAGTTGATAACAAGAGGATAAACTGTGGCACTTATATTTACCTACTTCCCTTCTCCACTGACTGTATCATTTGGGCTTCTCTCTTTATAAATGCAATTAAAAAGTAGAGTTTAAATCTTTGCAATTAAGCAACTGCATATGAAAAGCAAAATCAAAATAAAACTGGGGTAGTTCTGAAAAAAAAAATAACAATGGACCTTGTTTCATCTCCAGGACGAACCTGGAGAGATTGTGAATGTAGGCTGATAGTCCCTTCAGTGCTTGTGTGTAACTGTGTTCTGCATGCATGCAAATTGAGCAGAAAAAGGGCCCCTTGTGCATCAGTGCTCCATGGAAAGCATACAGGGGCAATAAATAGCTCCCTAAAATTGCCTGCATCCTATAGATTTTATCCTCCTTTTTATCTGAAGAATAAAGAAGCCTCAAAGTGGTAATAAGGCTTTGCACTTTTCTCTGGAAATGTTGCATCTCAGAAACATCTAAGTCTATGTTAAATATTGAATACTATGACAAGCTTTGCTTTTCCCAGAATTATTCATTGAAGTTGCAGAGGAAAAAACAACTATTCAGTTACATCAGGAATGGAGAGGGATCAGAATCAAGTAGCCAATACTTCCATTGGCCAAGATTAACAAGTTTCTCCTTTCTTGGCTTTGCAGGTATGTGCTGCTGTAAAAGATGTATCTTGCCTGTTCCCTTTGCTAAAAAGAAAAAGTGTTGCAGAATACAAGGAGGAGTGAATCTGAACTCATTGGGATTCCAGCAGTGACACTACTGAGTCAGCATTTGCTTCTATTTACAACCTGTCAACTAACCTGAAGCTGTAGCAACACATCAGAGAGATGGTAGAATTTGCCCTATTTCCTCTAATCATATAGGAGAGGAACTATTATTGTAAGAGGATAGCACAGAAAACAATACAGGAATTCAAATCACCAAGAGGAAATTTGTCTTATTGTCTCTTATGTGCAAATTACAGCTGTCAAGCCCACTTACATCAAATGCTATAAATGTCACAAGGTCTGAACAGTCAGGAAACAATTGCAGGCCAGAAGCCTTGAGGTTTCATTCTCTGAGTCCCGGTTGTCACCGTGATACCGTGATGTCCTTCTTTCAGGATGACTTGTAAAATTAACATCTATGAAAATCAACTTTGCATTACTGTGAGGCAGAAGTGTGAGTCAAGGAACCCTGTATTTGTATCCTAAAATGTAGTGAACCAAATTGTGGCTCCATGAGCCAGTGGGGTATCACTGAAAAAGAGAATATACTCTTTGAGCAGTGTAGAAGAAGGCATTATGCTTGAACTAAGGTTGCCCACAGAGACTGTACAGGGATAACAAGATGATATTAACAACATGATTCCCTGTCCACGTGGACCAATTCTAGCACAGAATTCCAACACACCTTATGCCACTTTCCAAATAGGATAAAAATAAACAAGGAATGCCATTCTTACTCTGGGAAAAGGAAGCCTAAATGCTAATCTATAGTGATAGAATTCTAGTAATATAAACTCCCACTTAAGTATAACCCATTAGTTATATTAATGAAACTTCCAGACCCTGCTGGGCAGATTCATCTTAGGTATTAAATGCCATAATTTATGCAATTTGATTTCTGTGCAACTTGGTGGGTTTTTTTTGTTTTTTGTTTTTTTTGTTTTTTGTTGTTGTTGTTGTTGTTGTTGTTTGTTTGTTTGTGTTTGGTTTTTTTTTTTTTTTAATAATGTAGCAAACAGTTCACGCACTCTGGCCTGCTCCCAACAAGTAATTCTGTACCATGTCCCCAGGCTGATTTTTTTTTTTAAGGTACAGCTATATGAGAGCAGCTGCACTTAATCAATTAGTAGTACTAAACATAGTTGAGGTACTGAAGTGGTATAGGAAAATGGGCTAAGGAAAAGGAATAACAGCAGGGTAAGTACAAATGCCTTCCCTTTATCTGCAACCGAGGCTGATTTAAGCAGTAAGCTGCAAATGACAATTCAGCAGTTTCTGAGTTCTTTTAAAACACTGTGGGGAATACTTTCTAGTCCTTCTGATTGCTATTGTTAATTTATTAAGCTGTTCTAAAACCTCTTCTACTGCCTCTTCAATTTAAGAAAGCTCCTCAAAGAAATTCTTGGAATAAAAGTCTCCTATGTGGGAATCTCACTAAGATTCTCTGTAGCGAACACAAAGCAAGGAAGTGACATTTCTTCTATGGGTTATTTTCCATATGTTACTACTATCAAGTCCCATTGATATGGAATTGCTGCTCTATGTCTGGAAATACAGATTAACCACTTAAAAAATACTTACTTCTTGCACTGAAGAAAAAAGCACCCTCTAGTCTTTCCCTTCTCCTGTGGCTGCGTTTAAGGGCAACTCTGTTCTGTCAGTTCATACCATTCAAGGGGCTGTTATACACAAACACGATGGCAGGACCATATCCAGTCTAGCAAACCTGCTTTGTACAGCCCACACTGTAGCGTGTTCTTTTTTGCCTTAACAGCAAGGACAATGTTTAGTCAACATTTATGACCAAAACGCTTTAAAGCACCTTTGCAGCACCATGAATTTGGAACTTTAATCCTACCCTAGAGAACATTTTTCCCCTTTCCTCTAGCCACTGGACTTCATGACAATAATTCATGGCCATAAAGCTGGTAACAGTTGCACAAAACAGGCATCGTGCTGTAAATTATCTTTTTTGTAGAACCACAGTGACATTAAGGCAGGAATTTCCTCAGCTACCTAGGAATTGACTCTGATTCTCAAAATATGGGTTTCCTTCTCTTTCTTCCCTTACAGTTTTCTGAACTTTGAATAACCTTTTAGTAGTACCTATAAATCTTTTCATCTATATGACATACGGTCACATCCTCTCAAGCGCTCATTACTGTGTTTCCAGGATGGCTGTATTGTCTTCAGTGGATTTCAATGCTTTGTTTCAAGATTGCAAGCTATGCACTAATGATAGTGAAAATATCATCAAGGGCTGTGAACAAAGTCATCTATAGCTATTTATAACCCATTATCACAGTAGCAAATCTTAAGCTTAGCAACTGTGTAAAGAATAAACTCTTCATATGGATTTGACTCCACTTTAAATTACATTGGTATAAACTGTGAAACTGATTGGATTGACTGAACTTATGATGTGTGAAATCAAAGAATTTTGTATTAAAATAATCCCATTATAGCAATTCATGCAATTAAGCATCTTTCCTGGGTCGAAGGCACATAGAAGTGAGAATGACAGACCAATAAGGAATTCCTATTCTCTTCAGTAAAATCTAGTAAAACTAGATCTGAATTTCCATAAAACTCCACCATTAAAAATGCCTTTGGATATACAACACTAAAAACGCCATTGTGAACATGCTGATAAAACAGGTATGGTATTAGTTAAGCTAGTCAAGACAATAGATGTCAGAAAAGTAATTCCTTTCCTGCAGGATGAAAATAATGAGCTCATAAATATATCTCAGAGGTAGCCAGTGCTGTAAGAGCAAGGAGCATAAATTGTACTCGCAGGAGAGTTAAGACAGGCAAGGAGCTATTCACTCCTTTCTAGGTAAAATTGAAATGCCATGAAATACAGAGTTGTAGAGAGAAATTATTGCAACTCCTCTTACTCCTGAAGAATTAACAAGACAAACAGCAAAGGGCTGAAGCCTAGCCAAATTTAATTTTTTTTTATTTTATTTCCTGGCTTTGTATTTTTCTTCTTTTGGAGGGAGGTTGGTTTGCCATTTATAGCTGTTATTCTATATGTTCATGCTAATCTTTTTAAAGATATAGCTTCCTTCATGAAACCAGAATCCATGAAATTTATTACAGCATCTTTGAGCTGTGTCAGTAACACTCACAGCTATAGCTGCTAATTGTCCCTCACACGGAGATTTGTTATCAAATTATAATTTATAAAACCAAAACTTTGAGTTCACCCATGCCATTTAATTTATCCGTGCTAAACATGCTACACTCTCAGAAGACCACAATGTTTTTTCCTGTCTGAAAAACAAAAATTGTACTTTGTGGGAATTTTGTCCTAGAAATAGGCTGCAAAGTGCCAGCAGAGCCATTTTTTGAGTCCTGCTTTGGTAGCAGATTTTATCAAGAGTCACAAACACACAGAGCATACATACACACGTGTACATCTCTTTATACTTTTCATACACACACAAAGCACTCAGCTGCCAAACCTCAAACCTGGCACACAACATGACCAAAAATTCAAAGAGTTAAAAAACTCTAAGTCATTAATGCAACACTCTGGGAAGACTGAGAGAAGCATTCCCATATGATATATGTAAGTCTTCTTACAGATTTATTGTCAAAATTATTTCTTCATAATACAAAAATATTTCCATAACATAAGCCAGATGAAATTTGTGTAGGACCAAGGTAACTCTAAAACAAACTCAAAGCATTTCTTGAAGATCTTTCTTGACCTCCTCAGACCTCAAGATTTTTTAAGTATTTTTTACCTTTATATTACTTACCAGGATAAGGATGAATTTTAGTAGCAGATATGGTTCTTCTTGAATGTCTGGAACCCTTTCTTCTCAGAATAGTAGAAACTGATGTTGCTACTCTGTGCTTATAACCTGTTTTAAACAAAATGTGTTAGTCTAAGCACAGATTAGAAGAAAAGCTGATAAACTCTTTATTCTGAAACTGTTGAACGCCTTGGAAGGTATTAAAAAAATCAGGAAGGCGTTGAAATAAGATGATAAGGAAAACCAAGGACCAGAAGATTTATATTTTCCTGAATGACATTTTCTGGAAAGTCCATTCAGGTTTGTCCCTTTCAAATTTTTCCTTGCCTTTTTCTATACTGTGTACCTTGAACAAATTTTGGAAGGATATCAAAAAAGCACATGTTCCAGTACAGGTTTGGACTCACAGTGCTGACAGTGGGATAGCAAGGATGGAATGCACTGGCATCCTAGAGAGCTGACAAATTCTTTGTAAATGTGGGGTGTTCATCTTGGGAAGCCCAATTTGAGAACAAGCGCAACACCGCTCACAAATACAGAGCTGGGTTGAACACCTCTGACTGTTGTTCAGCACCCAGTTCATAAACTCCTCAGTCTTTCCATTCTTCTGCTGCTCTCAAAATGTGCTCTTGGTGGGCTTATTGCAGACAATTGTGCAGGTCTTATGGTTACCCCTGTTCTACAGTGACTCTAGTCCAGAAGCTCAGCCAGCTTCTGGTGACAGGCTCACTTCAATTCTGTGTAACAGAATTTATTTTTATCTTTTTCCTCTGAGAGCACCAAGAATTTCATTAAATTAGAATTATTTAGGTCACAATTTTCTTATGAATAGCCAGTGGAGATCTAAAATGTTGAACCCCTAAGCATACACTGTAACAGTTAATGTCAAAGGAAGCTCTGGAAGTGTTTGTGAGACAAGAGAGGAAGAGAAAAGGCAAAACAACTAATTTCTAGTCTAGGACCTTTGTCATGCATCAGTTGTAACCTCCACTATGTTTATTCAGATATTTTATTTTATACATTCATGAAAATTAATGTTTCTGAGAGTCTCAGTGTCTGCCTAGCAGAATGTCTTGCAAGGTCTCAAGAGGAAATGAATAATTCCATATTTCTTAACGGATTTTGGTGGTGCTCAGAAATCAAGAGGAAAACTGCTAACTGAATTACAGCTAATGATTATGACAATGAATTGTGGAAAAATTCATAGCAGTTGTTTCAGGAACATAGTAATGTTCTGCTGTGTTCTGTGAGCACCACTGAAAAAAAGCAGTATGGAGACTTACAAGTAAAGGTTCAGTTAAAATTATATATCATAATATATACACATCAGGAATATAGCCTTTAAATCTGACTTTATGTGCTCGTCTGTTTATCAGTAACATATTGATGTTGTTTATGATGTTATATATTACAAATTGAACTCGTAAGACCACTTTTCATCAATTAACAGAAATATTCTAGAAGCAAATCAGTAATTAGAAGCCGCAAAAAGGCATCTTTTCCTCCCTGCTTGTGTCCATGATGATGCTGAAAAACATGTATTTAATAGATAACTGATAAAGGTATTAAATCATTAATCATCAGTACTTATAGTCGTTCATTAAAAATAAGATGCTATGACTGAAAGCATAGAAAATCCTAGAAGTGACATTTATAAGTAGCTTTCAGATTACAAATAGAAGTCCTTTAAATCAGAGCACTTAATAGCCCACTTATAAAGACCTAATTTACACTTTGTGGGGGTTTTTTATACATAAAATAGGTCTCAGAATTTGGTTCTAACAATAAATAAAAGATCATGTATTTTAACCAAGATAATCTGGTAAGGAGTTTCTTGAATTGGGGAAGTGGGACACAAATTTAACATTTCAATCAAGTATTTTGCTTACTCATTGAAAATATATGCATAAAGTATTTACATTATGAAAAAAAGTCACAGAAACGTTTTGTGTGCGGGAACTCTTCTTCCTTCTGCTCAGTTATGATTAAAGGTATACTCCTATTGCTCTTTCATTACAAAAGTGCCTGTAGATACATCAGGATGATCAGGGAAACGGATGTGGCTTATCATTTTTTTATTACCCCTGTGACCAGGGTCTCCATTCAGCATCACTGAACTACAAGGGGAATGGACATGAGCCTGTTAATAGCAACTAAATGCTGGTTGTCTGGAAGCATTCTGCCCACTCAGGGCTGATGCAGGCAGAAAGCTGCAGGATATTGCTGTGAAAGCACCTAAGCACTATTCTCTCAGGTAACAGATTAAGTAATATTCTTTTCGCTCTGATGAAAGGAAGTCTGCTCCTTGTACTGCCTCCCTCTGACTTGGGAAGAAAAACACGGACCAGCAGCTAAAAAATGGTTAATTTTGTGCACTGTTTGTTTTTTTTTTGCAGAGGATTTTATCTTGCTTGCTCAAAAGTCTCAAGCTCAGAGTACTCCTACACTTTTGTTCTTGCTTTCCTTAATGCATATTGCTAGAAAAAATACCATAAATCTGGTTTCAGTCTGGACTCCAAGTGAATTGCACAGGAAAAGCCTGTCTTGGCTGGTGAAGGCATAATGTAGAAACAATCATTTCAGTCTCTGAACTAGGGGCAAGTTCTTTCAGAGTAAAGTTCTAATCACTTGGAATAGTCAGTAGTGCTGGTTCACAAATCACAGCAATGTTTTCTTTGCTGAAATAATAGCAAAGAGGAAAAAAATGGGCTTAATTCAGCTCTGGGGTTAAGAAGGCACAGCTTGGTTGACCTGTAGTAGATTATACCACCAATGAATTTAGACAGCCAGTTTTTAGGACAGATAGCTGAGTGCATATCTCCTTCTATAAAACCTGCCATTTTTCTTGACCATGACCTAGATGAATCATCTTCAGGAAGAAAAAAAAAGGGTGTTTCAATCCACTTATATTGGTCATTGGCATTTCTCCTTCAAACCTTCCACAAAGTTCAACTGTAATTGTTTCATCTACTGGAATCAATGTGAAACCAGAAGTTCATATCACTGAGGAGCATAGGCCACCAAGCATCTGTCAAAAACCCCACAGTTCATTCACCATCAACAGGGTTGAATTTGCATCCACAATTCAGAGGTTAGAGGTGATAATGTCAATCATCCAAGTACTTCAATCCCTCTTTTACCATATGACAATTAAAATACCAGTGGCTGAACTACAGTAATAAACAACAGTTTTGTAATTGCAGATTTTTTTACTTACAGAGGTTTTTATTTTCCTGGACTATTTTGTAGATGACAGTTGAAATAGTAAGCACAAAAACTACTGGAATCATAGTGAGCCAAATGATCTTCGTCGTACACATTGGATCTGTCCACAAAACATAGAAGAGATAAAATTAGGCAGCAGAGAAAAGCAGAACATTCTCTTTGGTAGAGTTTTGGATTGTGTCTATCCCCATAGATAAAAACAAAACAAAATAAAAGAGATTATGCCTTTTTCTTTCAGCCTTCTCTGTTTTTTGAAATTAAATTTCCTATCTAGAATTTAGCTTAATTTTCACCTGTATTTATCTTCCTGCAGCTGAAATAGTTACAGGTAGCTAAGTGAATGAAAACTTTTCAACTCAGCCAGGAAGAAAATGCTTCAAAGATCAACATTTTTATTTAAGGTAGAACAAGGGTAGAACATGTGTCCTCTATCTGGATGGAGCACAGAAGGAATTGGTGCACTGGCATTTGCAACCTCCTGGTCTATCTTCTTATATGGGAGAAGATAGGATTCTACCCTATATAGAAGGTATTCTATAGACATTTTCTTATAAAAAAGTGAGGAAATGTCTCCTACAGGAGCTCTCTGGGGAGTTCTTTTAACTAAAGCTGCCTTGGGGGAGAATCCCATGGGACTGGGTGCAAAAGGTAGGCTGCTCTTTTGGACAACAGCTGCTGCAGAAATGCACTTACATTCCACTGGGATTTAGTTCAGTAACAAGTACAAGCCAGGACTATACAGGACAAAGAAAGGATGTGGGGAACTTTTCTCTCTGGTTGTTTGAAAGACCTTTCAAACTATTTCGGCAGCTTTTCAATGCATACCTTAGCACTGTCAAATAACTATTTTAAAAAACAAATATGTTACTCAGACTCATAAAAAATTAATTACAGTCTGTAGCCAAACCACTTGACTTAGAATAGTATAATTAGACCTACACTGACTTCCCTCGTGTATCTTCTCCACTGAGAACTCATGAGGTAAGAGCCAATAACCCCTTGGCTCTCTGAGGCACAGCTCATCCCTCGTAATTCAGAACTAAAAATAGCTTTTATACAGTAACTTAGGCTCCTTTCAAACAGAGCACCCTACCCCATCTTGTAGTGACTTGTAATGACTTGTGTATCAGCCTTTCTTAGTAAAAGCCCTGAGCACCTCTTTAGCTTTGTTTTGAAGTAAAGAGAAAAAGAAGATGTGTTGTTACTATTTATTGCTAATTTGAGATAACTACTACCCAGGTAAATCAGCATTAGTAAAAGGTGGTTAGTTAGCTCATTGTACTGACACAAGTTAGCAGGGCAAGTTACAAATTATGCTCCTCTCATAGCTAGACCTACTTATTTTTTTTAAAATCAGCCCTAAGCTGCCCTTTTTTCTCTAGGATCTTGCCTGGACTTATTTAACATAGCCAAAGCCAAAACATGTATTTTTTTCCAGGAAAGGTACAGCATAAAATGCATTTGCCATACAAAAGCAAATTAATGTCATAATTCAGCAATTTCCAAATGACAAGTGTTGCATATAGACAGAATGGAAGTCCTCACCATGGTCAGGCAATCAGTCAAAAATATAAATATTGCAAGCTGTCCTTGGGGAAACTAAGCCTAGTTCAGCTGAACATTTATCTTTTAAGCATACTGCAGTGAGGCTGTGCTGTAGGATATTGCAGTAAAACACTAAGAAAAGTCAAACCTGTCTCCTGATACTTCTACCACTGAAGTTAAGGGATTTTTATATTTGCCTCCAACACAACAGGGCTATGCCATTATCAAGGAATGGAAAAACATAATTCCAGGTTTTTTCACACATGTAATTTCTGAGTCTGTTGCTGCTAGCAAAAGACAATGTACAGACATTTCCTTTGCTGTATTTCTTCTAGAAAAAAAAAAAAAAAAAAAAGGCCACAGCTAAACCTGCTTTAGATCGCTGTCAAAACTGTCAATTGTCTACTAAAGACGGTCTTCTACTAAGGGATGATCAAAATTGTATTCTCTTCTTGTGAAATATTTAAATACTTTCAAAAGGTTGCTGAAAGCAGATAACTACCTACTAGATATTTTTTGCAAGATTTTTGTCTCGTTTTCAAGATGATTGTTTCTGGTTTCATTTCCTTTGTGATTCACCTTTGTCACTTACATTCCACGGAGGACTTCAGTTGCAGTGAAACATTTATACAGGCATTTTGGTCTTCCATCATTGCCATTAGACAAGAATGATTTAGGTGTTCTTCAGCTGCATTTCCTCCTCCGACTACAGAATTGTTGATGTGTATCATCATCAGGTAGTAAGTATTATGCTCTACTTCTTTATTGGAAACTGTAGGGAAATTAAAATGTTTATAAAAGGAAACAACATCTTTGGTTTTCACTTCAAGCTTTTGCTTTTGCAATTAAAAAATTAAAACAAAACTGTTGTACAACAAGTAGTAGACCAAGAAACAAGTCTTAAAAAGAACATTAAGTTTTCTGTCTCATTTGCAAAAACATACAGTTGTTTTTTACATTATTTGCTATAAAAAGGACAAATGGATACTAAGCAGATCTGAAGAGCATTGATTGCCTGTACAAAATGCATCCCCCCTGCAAATTATAACCCCTTTCTTTCTTTACTATCAGCTTCAGAGCTTTTCAGGTTTTTGTTGGTTCTGTCAGTTGTCAAAGGTAACAGGCAAAAATCAGGCTATGAAAAAAATAAAACCCCAGTAAAAGCCACATGATGATAGAGATTTGAAGTGTACACAGTCTATCTCCTATCAGTTGCAGGAGGTCCTTTTTTCACTTCAAACCACACAAGCTGTGAGACTTGTGCTGTGTTAACAAGGAACAGGTGAGAGATATTATAAAAAAGTGTGAAAAGTTGTACAAGTATAACTGAGAACAGAGTTTGTCTACATATAACTTCTTATATTCCATACTTGTTTTGACAGCTATTTTGTTAAAAGAAAATTTTGTGGTTGGAATAGAACTGTATTTCTTATATTCAGGACTTGGCCAGTTGCCCCTGTTGCTGACAATGATAGAAAAGCATAATAGAGAAGCATCCTCTTCCCCCAAAGTTTCCAGATATTTGCAAGTGTATATGACACAGAAGGAATGTGCTGCTACTGCTCTGAAAAGATGAGGGTGTTGATGAAGTCTTCTCTGTACTGCTGTGCCATTCCTTATCAAGTGCTGCTTTTTATAAAACATGAAAGGCCATTTCTGATACTACACAGTTGTGGATATCATAGACTACAAAACCAAAAATGGTTATTTCTTATATAGCTGCCATCTAAATAGTTGCCAACTGAATTAGTTCTTCAGATACTTTCTCACACCTATCTTCATGATACCAGCAATCTACAGGTAGAGTTCCACAATGACATTTAAATGCAAATTCAGCATGAAAAATTATCCGAAAGTACAACTCCTTAAAAATAAATTAAATTTATCAGAAAATTTAGGAGGACTAAAAGAACAAAAATGGTGTTATAAGAGTGTTCATAAAAGCCAGATAAAGCAGAGGTCAAATTTACAACAGAAATATTCCAGGTGGCTGCTGGATAAAGCACTCTTCTCACAGCACCCACATTCCAGATCCATAGAAAGCCCCCTGAAGATAATAACACCACCCTCAGTCCCCAGTTTTATCCAAGATCCTCAATGGAAAGAAATCACCATTTGCTACTGACATCTTTCACTTACAGCCAGGAACTAATGCCACTGAGAATCTGGCATAAAACTTGCATTTTCTAGCCATGCAAAGACATTGTTCATAGATTTGCAAAAACCATGGAGAACCATTTCCTTTTAACTACCAGATAAAAATATGTATTTTATTTTGTAACTAACCGCTACAAAATTAAGTATTTCTCTTCACTTACTTACTTTTTTTAGCTGCTGTCCCTGATCCTTGATGATCAACATTCACATCCCTCTTGGATTCACACTCTGTGTGTTTAGTATGGGACTGTTGTTCCTTCTCGGAGGATTGGCAAATACATGGAATATTTTGGAAATCAGAATTGTTTACAATGGCCTTCAGCAAAATGGTCTGATTTTCTCTTCTTTGTTGCACTGATCTTTTGCAAGAATTGTTAAAAGTGCAAAGGGGAAAAGTGGTGTTATTCGATGAGCAGGTATCCGTGCATGATACAATTACAGTGTTAGCTGTAAAAGAAAGAGTCCTGTATTAGCAAGACAGTCATAGAGGACACATGGACAAATACATGCATCGAAACATCATATAATGAATCCTTCAACCACCTTACCACAAAGTGCACTTCTTTTTTTCTTGAAGATTATGACAGCACATTGAATGCATCATTTTTAAGAGAAAATAAGCACAGAGTCTTCCCAGAACCTAAAAGCTGGATTTTATTTGCTGAATCGTAAGAAATCTCTTGTAATAGTAACTTGAATTTGCAGTGGTATCTAGACACATTTCTATTTCAAAGCTGCTCCAATTTGATTGTACTTGAAAAGAAGATGAAAGCACACACTTGGAGGGGAAACACAGCCCTGGAACTGTGCAGTTGCAAAGCTCCAGTACAATTATGTTCTGAAGGAGCTATAATCACGATGAAAATTTTCTTTCCACATGACATTGAAACCACACAGTGAAAATACACAGAAATGCTGCTGAACCCTCAACCCACACCCTTCACATTCACTTATGTTCAGTCAACAAACAGAGATCCTAATTATGACCACTGGGTTTGGTATTCACAGTCAAATTTCAGTATCAAAGTACTGTAGCTGGAGTACATTAATGCAGTCCTGGCAAGCAGCAAAACCACAGAGTTAATTATTAATGAGTGTCATTCTGTCTTCCACATAAAAGTAGAAGTTTATCATGCAAGTTTTTACTTGTGTTTACTTTGAACTATTTTTCAGTATAAAAAAAATTAAGAACAAAAAACTTCTGTGACCCCAACATGAAACGTATATTTATGAATACAAATAACCACTTCCCAGAGTTGATACAGCACTAACGTATAGTTTTCCAGCTATGTTTCCAATTCTATTAGTACCCTTGCATGGGTATGAAGAGGAAATTTTGCATTGAATTCCCATTATGAGCAACTGGTGTTATATGTTCATAAGTCTTTATGTATAGTGAGCAAAATGTAGCTTTTAATTGCTCCAGTGCTCAGCTGCAATCTGACATCTTCAACAGGCCACCTGTGCTCGCAGAGCAGCAGGCTGACCTCAGAAATGGTTCCGTCAGGATTTTCAGACAGGATACAGAAATAAAATCCAGGGTCCAATGCCAAAGCCAGTTATCTTCACTTTACTGACACTATTATCAGATAGTCATAAACTCCTTATAAAATATAATAAATTGAAATGTAAAAGACATGTCTTATACCAGTAAGAAAAAGTTAATTTTGATAAAATAAAGAAAAATGTCAGACAAAACCTAAGGTGGTAATCTTTCCCTGAGGCAAGAAAAAACATTTTCCTTGAAATGCTTACAATCTGACCCACACAGCCTGGCATGGAGCAGCCTTCTGAGGTCAAATTCTTCCAGCTGAAGGAGGTGTTTTGTGTAGAACTTCTCTGTGGAGATGAACCAGGAGCAGAAATTGAATTCCTACTCTGCTCTCATGGCAAGCCGTGTATGCACCTGCACAACCAGTCTAAAACCACTGCTACAGCTTCCATGGACAACTAATCATAATTCCCTAACATACAGTTTTCACCAAGAAATCTGTATACGGACTTGGGAATCTGCTGGCAGGGCTGTAACAGCAGTCCATGTTCAGCACTGTGAAATCCACTTGGAACTTCACACATGGCTAAACGGGCTCCAGAGCTGCCTGAGAGCCATGTTGGAGGTGTGGAAAAGGCATGTTACCTGAGTAGAAAAACTTTGAATGCTGTTGTGTTAGGGAGGTGCTTACCATCCTCTTGAGAGATCTCTACTGAGAAAGCCAATCAAATTATGATCTAGCATAGGTAAAGGAGTTTTTTTTTTAACAAGTCACAGGGCTGTGGCCTTTCTAAGGAAGGATATATATTGCTGAGCACTGTAAGAAAGGCTACAACAAGACTAGACTTTCCCAGTGGATTATATGGCAGACAAAGAGCCATACCCACAGGAGGCTTGCTCCTTACCTCAGGACTGGGAAGTACCCTCCCAAGTGTAAACATAACTAGAAATGTGGAAAGGGTTTTGTGAAATCTGAATGCAGGCAGCCTGAAGAGTTAAGAGGATTGCTGAGATAAAACCATGCAAAGTACCTTTAGGAAACTGCTTTATATTGAAAGACCTGCAACCTGCATGCTCAGTGTTAGGAAGTTCTGTGATTATCGAATTCTTTGATTAAGCCTTTATTTGCAGAGTGTTTTTCCATAGAAAATCCAATTCCATTAAAATGGAATTATTCACAGGGAAGATCAGAATTTGTAAAAAACTTGCTTCCCACTGAGAAAAATCCCAAATATTTCGCTTAGGGTTGGTTTGACTCTTTTTCATTTGATCTGATTTTGAATAAATGGAACAGTATATCATTTGCATTTAGATCACTCCCTTATGGAAACTATAGTCGTCACATAATATTGTAGAGATACAAGGCCTATGGTCCAAGCTGGGGAATATACACCGGATAGATTAAAGAAGATACACTCCATCAAGTAGCTGGACCCAGGGGACAGGACTGGGACTGAAAGCACCAGATTCCAAAATGACAACCTCCTGCCCTAAAGCCATGTAGTTCAAAGGTTCAATGACTCGCAACCAAACAAGTGGGTTGCTTTACAAATGTAAAGGAAACATTTCATTGCTGGCCATGCTGAACTGTGTTCTTCTGATAAATTTTTAAAAGTTTGTTTTTTGCAAATTGATTTCCCCCGAAATTTCAGTCTAATGAGAAATTTCCATTTTTATTCCCTCTCCAGAATGAAAATAAATGCTGGAACTTCCCCTGGGATAAAACATCCAGTACTTAGGAAGCCTCTGCCACTAATTTAGGAACCCCTCACAGAGGAAGATCCAGTGACTGTATTTCACGTCTCAAGGATTTGCAACAAGTCTGTCTGCTGAAGCCTCATGGAGTAACCAGCAATTCGAAACATCTACCAAAAATTCCCTAAACATTAGATTTGTCACAAAATCTGAAATAAAACCAGTTTCCAATGAACCAGAGACCCAAAATCCTTTGAATTTGTAAATAAATCATTTAACATATTTACTTTCTCATATAATTCATACATTGTTACACAGTCTGTTATATAGTTATAGAGTTTTTAAAATATCCAAAGTACTGCAATAATTCTAATTTCCCAAATATAATTATGTGCTGCTCCAAATATAATTCTCTTCTGCTCATATACTTCACAATCTTATTTTAGATATGCTGTGATTAAGATTTTATGTAGATATCAGAATTGCAGTGATCACACTATTGCAACATAAAGCACCTCCAATAAGTGCAATCTAGGAAAATTATCATGGAAAAATCTTTGGTGTTTGATGGTAAGGTTAATGTTTTCTTCTAACAATAGTCATGCCATTGTTTATTTGCATAATCTATTCTAGCAAATACTTTGATTGCTTCTGCATGGACATAAAACATTAATTATTCCAATATCTTCAAGTGATTTATCAATGTTATGCTATTCAAAACTTCTGTCAGCTTACCAAGTTCATTCATTTATAAACTATAAAAATCTATACATGATATTCTAATTACTGGCATGTTTATTCTTTGTGGTTACTGAAAATAGAATAAATATAAGTAACCTTATCTGGATATATTTTGATACTAAATATATTCAGAAAATTATGTTTCATAAATAAATTATTTCATGATACCTGAGAAAACACAACATTTGTCAAAGGGATGCTTTTTATTATAGCATTTATCTATTAAAAAACTTACTTAGGAACGGATGCGACAAAGCTATTTTAATACTAATATGTTTATGGCTTTTTAAGAAAGTACTCAATGCATAACTTACACACGTGTATTTTGCATTCATCCCATGTCCAGTATCAGCCCTTAGGATGTATTTGGCATTTGTGGTAAAAGATTTGCACTACTGCTACACCTATTGCGCTCTATTTTTTGTCAGATTACCACTGCATATCTCTTTCACAGACAGCATCTCCTTACCAGATTGTAACTGTACAAAGGTTTACAGGCATTTAAGTATAACAACTTTTTTAAAGTTATTTTTTAAGACATGGGTACCTGGTATAAAAGAACATAAGCAATTTAACTACCCTCTTCATGATGAAGGTAGTAAAAATACAGTTGCATAAAAATAGTTACCAAAAATTTTGCAGAGTAAGTGAATGACAAACTCCTTTCAAATTGCCACATACGATTAACTCTGTTTGTTAAAAATCTAATAAAAAGGAATCTGTATCTTTTGGAAAGTCCACATGAGTGCAGCATCCTAACCATCAGTTTTAGAAAAGCACGTGTCAACATTTCAATTGAAATCAGGCTTCAGAATAAATAAGAGTCTTCAGAATAAATAAAAGTTGATCACTCACCTTCTTGTATTTTGAAAAATTCGGGTAAACACAAAATAAACATGGTAATTATTCCTAGTACTAATTTGAAGATTACTGGTCTTCTCAAAAGCAAGCACATGTCACTGAAGCACTACCATCTAGAATAGTGGTGGTAACTTCCTTCCTGTTTTAGCTTTTAACTTAGTGCAGACTTTATGGTAAATAGCATCTATTCATTTCCTTTTCTTATTATGACTTTCCTTCTTACTTCTCGTTAAGTTTCAGAAAGCCACAGTTTGTTCTTACATTGGCATAGATGAGGATAATTCAACTGAATATACTGAAGATAAAACTCATGGACTACAATGAAAATAAGAGAAAAATCATGCATTCAAATTATTTTATACATTTGGGGTAGTTTTAAGAACCCCCTAATAGCCACTTCTCATACCTTCTAAACAGTAAATTAATTAACTTTGAGAAGGAATTTTGTTCTCATTTGACCAAGAAGATTTAAAAAAAATGAGTCAGACCCTCATTATAAAAATGAGTCAGAACCACATGAGTCAGATATGGAAATTTTATTGTTTTATTTATATACATATGCATTGAGGCTAGGGGGAAGATAATGTTATGTGATACAGGATCTTCGAGACTTTAATAGACTATGTATTTGGTCATTACAGTCTAAAATTTCTGATCTGGCAATAAGTGATGGGCTAGGTACAACGAACTGAGTATGAGTTGTTCATATTATCATCACTGGTGTATTCTTAAAAGATAACAGATGTGTTGCCAATCTGTCAAGTGTCTTCAGTGTGTATTCTACTATTCATTACACCACAAGAAGACTGGAGAGAGCCACTGCTATTTCTATACATTTTAGTCACAATTTTTCAACTGAACTTTCCAGTTAAAAAAGTGAAGTATTTCACTTTGACAACCACCACGATATTCCATAAATTCTTCTTGCAGACGAGACTGCAAGGAACATTTCTGAAATGTTCTGAATAAAAGTATTCTGAATAATGCATATGTAAAAAAACCCTCAAATTTTGACTCAAATATTGAGTATATAAAGGATTTCATTAATTCAGAAAGTTGTCTTCTGATGTGTATTTTTCCTACAACCCATTAAATATTAAGTACTACCCAAATGAAGCAATGCTGTGGAAATTAAAATAAGAAATGCCCTAAAACTTGAAGCACTCTTCTCGTCATCTAATTATCTCAGAAGATGAGTAAGGCAGGTAGAAGTATGCATTCTATGGAAAGAGACCTAATGAAGCTGTGGACAATAGAAGTTTGTTAATATGATATTTTAAATACATCATTTTTATGCAGTGAAAGCAATGAAAGCAAAGAAAAATGAACCGATTTTTTGGCATTATGGTGGGACAGAAGTAATGAGATACAAAAAAATCATAGATATGAATTTAAAAAGTAAAACACTACACAATTTATCTCTCCATTACCAAATTAGCTCTACTTTGTTTTTGCTGAATTGCATTGCCCTTTAAGTATCTTCTGTATCAACTTATATTTTCCTGATTTCAAGGTTGCATGGTGTTCATCCATCCTATCTACCCAGAAGGAGTGTAGAAAATACTGGAAAATAGCAGGAGGGTTTTGTCAATTATCTGTGGCTTTCCGACATAGTCAGACTGTCATAGCTGTTGGTAGTGCTCAAGGTCAAAATAGAAATTGCCCTATAGGATCCCACCGAAGTTCAGACTGATAAAGTATTAGCCTGTGGAATATGTTGAGCTTCAGGCTCTACAGAAGGAGTCTTCCAAGAACTCTGCAGTACAGATGGGGAATACCTATTTTAGGGCTACTGTGAAGGCACATTTTAGTTTCATTTCTGAATTCAGAGGGTCCACATGTGATCTGTCTGCACATTCCCCAGGGACACCTTAAGTTTTAGACACTGCTACCCTCAGGCAGTTCAGTGTGTGTGGCCTGGCCACAAACAGACCCGGAAAACAGGTTCTCTGGGGACACGCTACTCTCCACCCAGCTAATAATTTTTACACAGCTGGAACAACTCATACCTTTGAAAACCCTATCCTTTAGTCAAGTTTAGTTAAAATTAGCTCAATCATTTAAAGCCAGACAGGGTGAGAACTGGCGGCCAGGTAAAGAACACAGCCTCGCAGGCTTTTAATTCTTTCCATGCAGAATTAAATAAAGCAAGAACTATGTATCTCATTACTGCATCAAACCCACACCGTCATGCCTCAGCAATGGCCTCGTGTGCCCCTACATCAGTTTTATCAGTTCAAGGCACATCTGGCTATCACACAGTCTAAGTCATTCTATCTCTGGAAGGCAGCAGTCCCTGGTAAGGCATTGCTCGACGAGGGCAAAGAGGCTGTGTGCGTTTGCCCATGAGGGGCTGAGGAGCAGCTGCCTCAGCACCACACAGGCACAGACTCCTGAGGGGAAGCTGAAGGCTGTGGTGTGTGTCACCGCAGCTTTATTTCTCTTAAATGGGAGAGTGGACAGCTACAGAAAAGTTCGGCTGTGTGCTTTTGGAAGACAGGCACGCAGGGACAGGACGAGGCTTTTATGGGGTTAATCAAGAGAACCCCCACAGAAGGGGAGACCGGCCCCCCCCGCCGCTCCCTCCCGCCCCGCCGGCAGGGGGCGCGCGGCGCCACAGCCCGAGGGGAGCGGCCCCGGCCCCGCCCCGCCACACGCGGCACGCGCCCCTCCCGCCCCGCGGCAGGGGGCGGGGCCAGACGGGGGGCGGGGCCCAGACCGGCCCCGCCCTGGGTCTGTCCCCGCCCCTGCCTGGCGGAGGCGCCGAGCGCAGGGCGGGCCCAGCGGGGACCGGACAGCGGCGGGGGGAGCGGCCCTGCCCGCGGGGAGCGGCGCGAAGGCAGCGCTGGCGGCCGCGGCCGGGCAGGAGGCGGGAAGGGGACGGGAGGGGGTGCGGGGGCCTCCCGTGCGGGTTTTTTCCTTTCCCCGCCCCCTCCCAACCGCGCCCCCTTCCTGGACCGCGAGAGGTGAGAAGGGCGGTCGGGGCTCGCCAGCGAGGGGACGGGGCCCGGGGCTGCTGCGAGGGGGAGGAGAAAATGATGATGAGGAGGAGGAGGAGGAGGAGAAGAAGGGCGGCGGCGCGGGCGAGGGCCAGCGAGAGGCGGGCCCGCCGGGCTCCCTCCTGCCGGGTGTGTGCGGGGCGCGGCTGCGGCGCCCCCCGGGGGGACGGGCAGCGGTGCCCGCGCTGAGCCCGCCGGCCGGGCGGGACCCGCCGCGCTCGGCGGGGAGGTGGCGATGCCCGAGCGGGGCGCCCTGGTGCGGGACGGGACGGGGCGGGGTCCGGCCCGGTGGCCGCGTCACTTCAAAGCGTTCAGAGACGGGACCCGCTAAAAGTGCACTGAACACGGCGGGCTCTCGGGGACTTGCCCCTCTGTCTCTCAACCTTCACCATCACAGTATGAAAAAGTGGGAAACTAATTTTTTTTTTTTTTTTTTTTTGAGACTGGTCGAACAGATTAGAACAGCGACTGACTGCCGGCTCACTGGCATGGGGAGCGGCGTTACTACGCCGGGAACAAATAGAAGTATAAGGTGTTGAACATCAAAGGGCTGTTTGTAGATATTACTGGTTTACGCTTTTCCTTAAAGCCTCTTTGTGGCTCCGGGCTCTGAGCTCGGACTGGCTGAGCTGTGTGAGCGCTGGTGCAGCCCAGCTGAAGCCCCGCCAGCCGTGGCTCGCTGTCGGGCTGCTTGGCCAGTAATGTCGTAACAGTCGAAAGGGAAGGTTTGAGTTTGTTCCTTCCTTTTACCTAAAAGTCAATGATGAAATTATATGAGCTAAACTCCAAATACAGTCTTATTTTCAAGAAAAAAAAAATTCGTTCATGTCTTCCACGAGCATGAACAGGAAAAAGAATTTGAACTTATAATTGTATTGGTGTAGCTTTTTTATCTAGACAAACTCTGTAGTTTTTTTAGAGGTTCATTTTAGGAGTGGATGCTTTTTAAAAACACATCACAAGATGTATTTTCATGAGCAGTTCATTAATTTTGCCAGAAACAATCTCTGATCATTTCTCATGAAGGTATTTTTGCCTGAGAATTTTAAGAAGCATTAAAAAGAAAATAAAAAGGCACATTATTTTTTAATTTTAAGGGTGCATTCCTGATAGGGCAGATTGTGTTCCCATCTTATGTTTTTTCTGTTTTCCACTTGCTGAACAATGCTAAGTAGCATAAAGCAGGATAGAACCAAAATAATAACAATAAATAATAACTCTAATCTGAGTCAAATAGTGTTTTCCTCTGCCATATGTCAGCTTCATTGAACCATCCCTCATTTATGTCCTCTGGATGGGCAAGTCCACTACCAAAGGCAGTAGATTTTGATACATGTTTCACAGAAATGCAATGACTGCTAATTTAAAATAGAAAGGAATTTGAATGAAGATGAAGAAATTCTCCCATTAGACCATTACGGTCAAAGAGTAATTGCAAGCTGTTGCTAACAATGACAGTTCATATTGGTGAACTTGTTCCAGCTCTGGACTTTTGTATTACCTGTGCTTTTAAAAAGATTCTTTGCTTATGTTGTTGTCTTGTGATTTTATTGATATAATTCAGCCTTTTGTGACATGGTAAAGAAGATTACCTAATCAGACAGAACGTGGCCCAATAGTGAAAGTTTCTACAGATAAGAAATTACAGTGTGATTTTATGGTTCCCTTACAAAATCCTTAGTTTGCCTCTTTCCACAGCAATTAAATTGCCTTTTCTTATAGCAATCTTGCCATGTAGAAAAATGCAGTGGTTACAAACCTAACTATCCACAGTTTGCTTTTTTTCATAAGAAGAAAATCTTTCATTCAAAGTTACCAGCAAAGCGATGCTGACCATAAATATGTGTGTTATTTGGCTGTGTGGCCTTAAAACCCAGTCATGTAGGCAGGATGAGGTTCTGTGCTCCAAATGTAAGAATGAGGTGGTATTACCATTCAGAGAGCTAGGACAGTCTTGCAACTAGTAAGAAAGATCAGATCATGAGAGGTTAAATATTAGGTATCACATTATGCATGCAGGTATCATGTAAGGCTACTTTCTTTCACTTCAAAGTGTACATAGTCACTTGGTGCATGGTACCAAAGCCAAAAGGAGACACATTATTTCAGCAGGCTAGATTTTTTTGAGATTTGTAGTGGCCTGTAAATAGGAAAGGGTTGAGAACCACTGTGACAGTAAGTGTGAATTTTTATAGAGCTGCTCCGCTAAGGGAAACATGTTA